AGGGCTGGTGGGAGCTGGGGGGGAGGGCGGGTGAGAGCTGGGGGGGAGGGCGGGTGGGAGCTGGGGGGAGGGGGGGAGGGGGGGTGGGAGCTGGGGGGGAGGGCGGGTGAGAGCTGGCGGGGGGGAGGGCGGGTGGGAGCTGGTGGGAGCTGGGGGGGGAGGGCGGGTGAGAGCTGGGGGGGAGGGCGGGTGGGAGCTGGGGGGAGGGGGGGAGGGCTGGTGGGAGCTGGGGGGGAGGGCGGGTGAGAGCTGGCGGGGGGGGAGGGCGGGTGGGAGCTGGGGGGAGGGGGGGAGGGGGGGTGGGAGCTGGGGGTAGGGTGGGTGAGAGCTGGCGGGGGGGAGGGTGGGTGGGAGCTGGGGGGGAGGGGGGGAAGGGTGGGTGGGAGCTGGGGGGGAGGGGGGAAAGGGTGGGTGGGAACTGGGGGGGAGGGTGGGTGGGAGCTGGCGGGGGGAGGGCATGTGGGAGCTGGGGGGTAGGGCGGGTGAGAGCTGGCGGGGGGGAGGGTGGGTGGGAGCTGGGGGGGAGGGGGGGAAGGGCGGGTGGGAGCTGGGGGGAGGGTGGGTGAGAGCTGGCGGGGGGAGGGCGGGTGGGAGCTGGGGGGTAGGGCGGGTGAGAGCTGGCGGGGGGGAGGGCAGGTGGGAGCTGTGGGGGGGGAGGGCGGGTGGGAGCTGGGGGGGAGGGTGGGTGAGAGCTGGCGGGGGGGAGGGTGGGTGGGAGCTGGGGGGGAGGGGGGGAAGGGCGGGTGGGAGCTGGGGGGGAGGGCAGGTGGGAGCTGGCGGGGGGGGGGGGGGAGGGCCGGGGGGAGCTGGGGGGGAGGGCGGGTGGGAGTTGATGGGGTGGGGGAGGGTGGGGGGAGGGGGGAGTGACAGACGTGAGCAAGAGCTGGGGTGACTAAGGTGGGAGTGTGGCCCAGACTCAGGAGGGCCCAGCTCCAGGCTAAAGGCTGGCAGACCACAGCCAGGCGAGGAGAACGCACATTTACATACAAGTCAGTCCTCAGTCTTAGGTAAAAACCGATGGTAATGACGCAAGCCAGGTCCTCACCGGGCTTCTGCCATGTCCTACCGGCGGGCCACGGCGGGCCCGTTACTCCAAGTGTCCCAAGCCAGCCCCGGCCCCCCGGCCCGAGCGAGGGGCCGCCGCCCCTCACTGCGCATCAGTCCTGCTCTGAGCACCACCCACTGGGACCCAGGGCCGGCTCCACAGCATTTTCCAGGGACCCAATGCTCACCCTCCCTTAAGAGGTGGCAGCCCATTCTCAGCGGACCCAGTCTCACACTTCTGATCATGGACACGGCTGCACTCAGATGCCACAGGTGGCCATCAGCATTCCCACGGGCAAACGAATGGGCAGGCAGCCGAGACAAGCCGGGTGTCACCCTGGATCGCCTCACCAAGAGCAGAGGAGCGCGCACCTGGCAAGCCCCTGTCCACCACCAATCTTCTTATGCTGGACCCCAGGAGGTATCCAGACCATGTACAGTGCAGCATTCCACATCCCCGGGAAGCACAGGTCCCCAGCATCCCTGGTTAATGGGGGCTATGGGGGGCCCAGCCTCAGGACGGAGTTGCACACAGCCAACCCAAATATACCAACATCAGACGACCCCTGCTGCCCGACCTCCATCCATGGCGACCCCCGCCTGCCCGCTCTCCATCCACGGCGACCCCTGCCTGCCCGCCCGCCCTCCGTCCACGGCGACCCCTGCCTGCCCGCCCTCCGTCCACGGCGACCCCTGCCTGCCCGCCTGCCCTCCGTCCACGGCGACCCCCGCCTGCCCACCCTCCGTCCACGGCGACCCCTGCCTGCCCACCCTCCGTCCACGGCGACCCCTGCCTGCCCACCCTCCGTCCACAGCGACCCCCGCCTGCCCACTCTCCGTCACGGCGACCCCCACCTGCCCACTCTCCATCCACAGCGACCCCCACCTGCCCGCCCGCCCTCCGTCCACGGCGACCCCCGCCTGCCCACTCTCCATCCACGGCGACCCCCGCCCGCCCGCCCGCCCGCCCGCCCTCCGTCCACGGCGACCCCTGCCTGCCCGCCCTCCATCCATGGCGACCCCTGCCCGCCCGCCCTCTGTCCATGGCGACCCCTGCCTGCCCACCCTCCGTCCATGGCGACCCCCGCCTGCCCACTCTCCGTCACGGCGACCCCCGCCTGCCCACTCTCCGTCACGGAGACCCCCGCATAGTCACCCGCCCCCGGCGCCCAGCCCCCACCTACCGGCCCGTCCCGAGCGCGGTGCTCCACGCCTCCGGCTCGCCGCACCGCCTCCTCTGCACCCCTGTGGCTGTCCTTGCTGGCCTGCGACACCGCGAAGCTGTCCCCTGTGGACGGGGAATGCGGCACCGCGGGGGAGAGTGTGCTGTGAGCCCGGCTGTGCCCACCCGTGCCCAGGACCGTGGCCACCACCCTGCCCCAGGGCACACCGGCTCACCTTCAGGGCTCTCTCTCCGCTTGCAGGCGTGGGCAGCTGCGGTGACAGGGCATGCAGTGACAAGAGGGGCCGGTGAGTGGAGGGGCCGGGGGAGAGAGGGACAGGAGGGGACGGGGACAGGAGGGGACAGGCGAGGACAGGAGGGGACAGGCGGGGACAGGAGGGGATAGGAGGGGACGGGGACAGGAGGGGACAGGAGGGGACAGGCGGGGACAGGTGGGGATGGGGACAGGAGGGTAACAGGAGGGGACAGGAGGGGATGGGGACAGGAGGGGACAGGAGGGGACGGGGACAGGAGGGGACAGGAGGGGACAGGAGGGGACAGGAGGGGACGGGGACAGGAGGGGACAGGAGGGGACAGGAGGGGACGGGGACAGGAGGGGACAGGAGGGGACAGGCGGGGACAGGCGGGGACAGGAGGGGACAGGAGGGGACAGGAGGGGACGGGGACAGGAGGGGACAGGAGGGGACAGGAGGGGACAGGAGGGGACGGGGCAGGAGGGGCAGGAGAGTGGCCCCTGCCCGCGTCCCCGCCCGCCCGCACCTCACCGTGCTTGGACTGGAATGTCCCCATGTTGTACCAGGTCGGGCCAGGGACGGCGTCGCGGGGTCACCGGGCCCTGGTGGGCCAGCCCGGAGGGGCAGGGGCCGGGGCGCGGGGCCGGGGCGCGGCGGGGCCGGGACGGGGCGCGGCGGGGCCGGGACGGGGCCGGGGCGCGGCGGGGCCGGGACGGGGCGCGGCGGGGCCGGGACGGGGCCGGGGCGCGGCGGGGCCGGGACGGGGACGGGGCCGGGACGGGGCCGGGACGGGGACGGGGCCGGGGCGCGGCGGGGCCGGGACGGGGCCGGGGCGCGGCGGGGCCGGGACGGGGCGCGGCGGGGCCGGGCCGGGGCGCGGCGGGGCCGGGACGGGGACGGGCCGGGGCGCGGCGGGGCCGGGACGGGGACGGGGCGCGGCGGGGCCGGGACGGGGCCGGGGCCGGGGCGCGGCGGGGCCGGGACGGGGACGGGGCCGGGACGCGGCGGGGACGGGGCGCGGGGCCGGGACGGGGCCGGGGCGCGGCGGGGCCGGGACGGGGACGGGCCGGGGCGCGGCGGGGCCGGGACGGGGACGGGGCGCGGCGGGGCCGGGACGGGGCCGGGACGCGGCGGGGACGGGGCGCGGCGGGGCCGGGACGGGGCCGGGACGCGGCGGGGACGGGGCGCGGCGGGGACGGGGACGGGGCCGGGACGGGGCCGGGACGGGGCCGGGGCGCGGAGCTGGGGACAGGGCGCGGGGCCGGGGACGGGGACGGGGACGGGGACGGGCCCGCGGCGGCGGCGGCGTTGGCTCCCGGAGCGCGCGCCCGCGCCCGGCTTTAACCGCGGCCCCCGCAGCGCCCCCCGCGGCCGCGGCCCGCAGCGCAGGGCCCGCGCCGCCCCTGCAGCCCGGCCGCAGCCTCCCGCTTCCCGGGCCAGAATGGCAGCTGGCGGCTGGGCGCCCTGCTGGCCCCGGCGCCCAGACGCACCCCAAGCCCTCCTAAGCACCCCGGACACCCTCCAGCACCCCAGCCACCCTCCAGCACCCCATCCTCCAGCATCCCATCCTCCAGCATCCCATCCTCCAGCACCCCATCCTCCAGCACCCCATCCTCCAGCACCCCATCCTCCAGCATCCCATCCTCCAGCACCCCATCCTCCAGCACCCCATCCTCCAGCACCCCAGACACCCTCCAGCACTCCATCCTCCAGCACCCCAGACACCCTCCAGCACCCCAGACACCCTCCAGCACTCCATCCTCCAGCACCCCAGACACCCTCCAGCACTCCATCCTCCAGCACCCCAGACACCCTCCAGCACCCCAGACACCCTCCAGCACTCCATCCTCCAGCACTCCATCCTCCAGCACCCCAGACACCCTCCAGCACCCCAGACACCCTCCAGCACTCCATCCTCCAGCACCCCATCCTCCAGCACCCCAGACACCCTCCAGCACCCCAGACACCCTCCAGCACCCATCCTCCAGCACCCCAGACACCCTCCAGCACCCCATCCTCCAGCACCCCAGACACCCTCCAGCACCCCAGACACCCTCAAGTACCCCATCCTCCAGCACCCCATCCTCCAGCACCCCATCCTCCAGCACCCCAGACACCCTCCAGCACCCCAGACACCCTCCAGCACCCCATCCTCCAGCACCCCAGACACCCTCCAGCACCCCAGACATCCTCCAGCACCCCAGACACCCTCCAGCACCCCAGACACCCTCCAGCACCCCAGACACCCTCCAGCACCCCACCTTCCAGCACCCCAGACACGCTCAAGTACCCCATCCTCCAGCACCCCATCCTCCAGCACCCCATCCTCCAGCACCCCAGACACCCTCCAGCACCCCAGACACCCTCCAGCACCCCAGACACCCTCCAGCACCCCAGACACCCTCCAGCATCCCAGACACCCTCCAGCATCCCAAGCACCCCCAATCACCCCTGGGCGCCCCCTACATGCCCCACTAAGTGTCCCACTGAGGGGCGCTGCCGGTGAGGGCGCTGGGCTGCATGGCTGGCTCTCAAGACTCTCACTGGGCATCCCGGCCTTGACACCCTGGCTGTAGAGGAACCTGAGGTCCCAAGGAAGACCCTGGGGACCCCCGCCTCAGACTGGATCCATGGGCCATGAGGACCGTGGGGTGGAGGAGCAGAGGAGGGGACGGCCCCCCACCCTGCTCCGGCCCTGGACACCCTCCACCCTTCCACCAGTGACCAGCCAGCTTCTCTTGTGTCCAGCACTGGCCAAGACCAGAGCTGTCCGCACTCAGACACGCTGCCGGCTGTGGTTGGGTGGCATCCTGGCCGCTGTGGGCGTGGCTGGCTGTGGTTGGGTGGCATCCTGGCCGCAGTGGGCTGTGGCTGGCTGTGGTTGGGTGGCATCCTGGCCGCAGTGGGCTGTGGCTGGCTGTAGGTTGGGTGGCATCCTGGGCGCTGTGGGCTGTGGCTGGCTGTAGGTTGGGTGGCATCCTGGCCGCTGTGGGCTGTGGCGGGCGTGGCTGGCTGTGGTTGGGTGGCATCCTGGCCGCAGTGGGCTGTGGCTGGCTGTGGTTGGGTGGCATCCTGGCCGCAGTGGGCTGTGGCTGGCTGTGGTTGGGTGGCATCCTGGCCGCTGTGGGCTGTGGCTGACTGTGGTTGGGTGGCATCCTGGCCGCAGTGGGCTGTGGCTGGCTGTGGTTGGGTGGCATCCTGGGCGCTGTGGGGTGTGGCTGGCTGTGGTTGGGTGGCATCCTGGCCGCTGTGGGCTGTGGCGGGCGTGGCTGTGGCGGGCATGGCTGTGGTTGGGTGGCATCCTGGGCGCTGTGGGCTGTGGCTGGCTGTGGTTGGGTGGCATCCTGGCCGCTGTGGGCTGTGGCTGGCTGTGGTTGGGTGGCATCCTGGCCGCTGTGGGCTGTGGCTGACTGTGGTTGGGTGGCATCCTGGCTGCAGTGGGCTGTGGTTGGCTGTGGTTGGGTGGCATCCTGGCCGCAGTGGGCTGTGGCTGGCTGTGGTTGGGTGGCATCCTGGCCGCTGTGGGCTGTGGCTGGCTGTGGTTGGGTGGCATCCTGGCCGCAGTGGGCTGTGGCTGGCTGTGGTTGGGTGGCATCCTGGCCGCAGTGGGCTGTGGCTGGCTGTGGTTGGGTGGCATCCTGGCCGCTGTGGGCTATGGCGGGCGTGGCTGTGGCTGGCTGTGGTTGGGTGGCATCCTGGCCGCTGTGGGCTGTGGCGGGCGTGGCTGTGGCGGGCATGGCTGTGGTTGGGTGGCATCCTGGCCGCAGTGGGCTGTGGCTGGCTGTGGTTGGGTGGCATCCTGGCCGCTGTGGGCTGTGGCGGGCGTGGCTGTGGCGGGCATGGCTGTGGTTGGGTGGCATCCTGGCCGCTGTGGGCTGTGGCTGGCTGTGGTTGGGTGGCATCCTGGCCGCAGTGGGCTGTGGCTGACTGTGGTTGGGTGGCATCCTGGCCGCAGTGGGCTGTGGCTGGCTGTGGTTGGGTGGCATCCTGGCCGCTGTGGGCTGTGGCTGGCTGTGGTTGGGTGGCATCCTGGCCGCAGTGGGCTGTGGCTGACTGTGGTTGGGTGGCATCCTGGCCGCTGTGGGCTGTGGCTGGCTGTGGTTGGGTGGCATCCTGGCCGCAGTGGGCTGTGGCTGGCTGTGGTTGGGTGGCATCCTGGCCGCAGTGGGCTGTGGCTGGCTGTGGTTGGGTGGCATCCTGGCCGCTGTGGGCTATGGCGGGCGTGGCTGTGGCTGGCTGTGGTTGGGTGGCATCCTGGCCGCTGTGGGCTGTGGCGGGCGTGGCTGTGGGCTGTGGCTGGCTGTGGTTGGGTGGCATCCTGGCCGCTGTGGGCTGTGGCTGACTGTGGTTGGGTGGCATCCTGGCCGCAGTGGGCTGTGGCTGGCTGTGGTTGGGTGGCATCCTGGGCGCTGTGGGGTGTGGCTGGCTGTGGTTGGGTGGCATCCTGGCCGCTGTGGGCTGTGGCGGGCGTGGCTGTGGCGGGCATGGCTGTGGTTGGGTGGCATCCTGGGCGCTGTGGGCTGTGGCTGGCTGTGGTTGGGTGGCATCCTGGGCGCTGTGGGCTGTGGCTGGCTGTGGTTGGGTGGCATCCTGGCCGCTGTGGGCTGTGGCGGGCGTGGCTGTGGCGGGCATGGCTGTGGTTGGGTGGCATCCTGGCCGCAGTGGGCTGTGGCTGGCTGTGGTTGGGTGGCATCCTGGCCGCTGTGGGCTGTGGCGGGCATGGCTGTGGTTGGGTGGCATCCTGGGCGCTGTGGGCTGTGGCTGGCTGTGGTTGGGTGGCATCCTGGCCGCTGTGGGCTGTGGCGGGCGTGGTTGGCCAGGTGGGCTCCGGCTGCCCTTCCCTTGCGCTGTGTCCCCCTGCAGCACTCCCCCACGCCGTCCTGCCCTCCAGAAGATCCCAGACCCTCTCACCTCCTCCCTTGCTCAGGACCCACCTCCCCTTGGCATCTCGCTTTCTCTGGAGCAGAGGAGCGCTTGTCCCGGAGCAAGCGGTGGTGTTCCTTGTCACCCACACTTGTGCCTCTGCTCCCCACGGTTCTCCTGTCAATTGTCCTCTTGAAGAACGCAGCTCAGTGGTGTCTCCTCATTCACAGATATGTGCAGCCATCCCTGGGGTCAATTTAGAATGCTCTCTCTGCCTGGGACAGTACAGTACATCTTACCCTGAATCTTTTACTCTCCCGTCTCCTCCAAACCACTCCAGCCCTAGACAGCACTAATCCTTCTTGGTCTGTAAAGATCCCTATTGTGAGCATGTCATTCAAGTTGGCCGCCATGGTGTCTGGTCTTTTGTGTCTGGCATCATTCATGTATTATCATATCTTCAAGCACTCATCCTGGGGCCTCCTTCTTCCAAGGACCCCCCTCCCCTTTGCTGCTCTCTGTGGTCGTTGGGGTCACCAGCAGCTTCCAGGGCCGTGTCTTTGTTTCTCAGGCAAGCCAGGTGGGAGGACGGAAAGAGGGCTGTGGACCAGGCAGGGACTTGCCTGCACCCCACACCCCACATCTGCACGGCCATCATCCTTCGTGTTGCGTCGCAAACCCTGTGTCTGTGTTCCGCCCGAGGCCCTTGGAAAAGGTCTGTGAGCAGATACAATCTGCTCCCAGGACTTTCAAAGTGCTGCAGCAGCAGCACTGTCTTGTTAATTGTGTTTGTGTGGCGTTTCAAAGCGTTTCGTTGGTATCTGTCAGAGGTGGGCAGAGCCGCGCTTACCTCAACCTGAAGAGCGGCAGCTGCCCACACCCGTCTCCCTGTGGCCTCAGCCCTTGGACAGGGCAGGCTGCATGCTGCACGCCCCCTGGGACAGGGCAGGCTGCGTGCTGCGGCGCGCCTCCTGGGACGGGGCAGGCTGCATGCGGTGCGCCTCCTGGGACGGGGCAGGCAGCGTGCTGCGGTGTGCCCCCTGGGACGGGGCAGGCAGCATGCTGCACGCCTCCTGGGACAGGGCAGGCTGCGTGCTGCGGCGCGCCCCCTGGGACGGGGCAGGCTGCATGCGGTGTGCCTCCTGGGACGGGGCAGGCAGCGTGCTGCGGTGTGCCCCCTGGGACAGGGCAGGCAGTGTGCTGCGGTGTGCCCCCTGGGACAGGGCAGGCAGCGTGCTGCGGTGCGCCCCCTGGGACGGGGCAGGCTGCGTGCTGCGGTGCGCCCCCTGGGACAGGGCAGGCTGCGTGCTGCGCGCCATGTGGCCGCTGTCAGCCCGGGGTGCAGCGTGCTCCCTGCGGGGCCTCTGGGGCCCTGCTCTTGTGCCTGTGGGCCAGGTCTCTGGTTGATCTGAAGCCAGGAAGACATTTGCACTTATGAAATCTTCCGAAACACAGTCCTGTGTGTTATTCATGGGATCGGGCTTCCACCGTGACGCGCTCGCGTCTGCGTCCCTGTGCTGAGAGGCGAGGCCTCCCTGGGGGCCTCGTCACTGTGCTGGGAGGTGGCACTGGCCCCGAGCCTGGGGTTCTGACGCCGTGGTCCACTGCCGTTCTCCTGCCCTCCTCAGAGGGATGGCGTTCCCCCACGGAGCCGCGGCTGCCGGTCAGCTCCCCGGGCCGTGTGGACGCGGCTGTCTACGAGTGACCAGGGCTGATGAGGTCTTACAGAAGTGACTCGTGACGGCAGCAGGGTCCTCCCTGCGTGTGGAGGCCCAGCGTCCTGTGGCGCACGCCGTCTTCCGGCCTCTGCTGGACACCAGGGCCCTACTCAGCTGCCACTGGGGAACCAGCTTGGTGTGTGGCCCGCCGTGCCGTGTCCCAGGGCTGGGGCTGCTGCACACCTCCACGTGGCCCTTTGCCCACAGACGTGCTCCGGGAAAGGAAGAGGAGGCGATGTGCGTGGGTGTGAGTGTGCACGCACGTATGTGGAACAGATGTCCGAGTGTGCACCACCGCGCTACCTCTGCTTCCCTGGGAGCTCGGCCTCAGCGTTCGCTCCACGTGGAGTTTGGCTGTTGAAGGCCCTCAGGTGGTGGGACCAGCTCCCCTCATGCACAAAGCTTTAGGGTACCCCTCACACTGACATGGGGGGCCCTCCTCCATGACACTTTGCTAGCATGGTGCAAGAATGGGCTGGTCCCCCACTAAGCTCACAAGCACAACTGGAGGCGACGCATAGCCCAGCCTACGGGGAGCCCGGGGTCGCACGGCCCAGCCTCCGGGGAGCCCGGGGTCACGCAGCCCAGGGGCCTCTGGGGAGTCTGGGGTCAGGTGGCCCAGCCTCCGGGGAGCCCGGGGTCGCACGGCCCAGCCTCCGGGGAGCCCAGGGTGGCACTCAGGTAGCACCACACACTTCGGGACAAGCATAATGCTTGATGACAGGGTCAGAGCTCCGCCAGTCTGGCTTCTCTCTGTGCAGATATCTCTCACACACAGACAGTGGCTCTGAGTCCGGGAGCAGGCTTCTGCTCATCACTTTGTGAATGGATTGTTGTATATTCAGGTGCCCAAGATGACCTCAGGAGTGCCCCAAAGCCATCCTGCAGTCCCGCTTTCTTCTCGTGCCCTTTGGTGCTCAGGGGCCTGGCCAGTGGCAGCTGTTTTTGAAATACTTGCTGCCAGCTCTGTACTTGCACCTGCTTTTCTTAGTATCAGCACAAGCATGGCATTTTACAGAACCCTGTGAGGCCTGGACCCTCGGCCAGCGTGAGCTCACAAAGCAGTGTCTCCTCTCAAGCTGTGCTCTCTCTCCACGTCACCCCATGAAAGCATATCCTGACTCACAAATGTGTTGTGGTGTCATTGCTTGTGTCGCTGCGCAAAGCTACTACAGGGGAAATGGCTCTGAAGCAATGACACCTGGGAGGTAGCATATCCTGACTCACAAATGTGTTGTGGTGTCATTGCTTGTGTCGCTGCGCAAAGCTACTACAGGGGAAATGGCTCTGAAGCAATGACACCTGGGAGGTGTGCCAGCCCCTGGCTTCTTAGAAAGAGAAGTCTCACAACCCTGAGATACCACCTTATCCCAGTCAGAATGGCCCACATCCACAAATCAGCCAACGACAAATGCTGGAGGGGATGTGGAGAAAGAGGAACCCTATTACACTGCTGGTGGGAATGTACACTTATACAACCACTTTGGAAAGCAGTCTGGAGGGTCCTTAGAAAGCTAAAGATTGACCTCCCTTGCGACCCAGTCATACTACTTCTAAGCATCTACCCTGAACAACAGGAACCAATATACAAGGACACATGCACCTCCATGTTTATTGCAACACTGTTCACAATAGCTAGGATATGGAAACAGCCCAGATGCCCCACCACAGATGAATGGATCCAAAAATTGTGGTATCTATACACAATGGAATATTATGCAGCCATTAGAAATGACAAAATAATGGCATTTGCAGGGAAATGGATGGAGCTAGAAGGAATCATGATGAGCGAGGTAAGCCAAGAACAAAGAGACAAATGGTACATGGTCTCCCTGATAAGTGGATGCTAAATCCAAAATGTTAGGTGATACGACAAAACTAACAGGACTTAAGAAACAAAGAACTCCCACTCATCTGGTCGAACACTACTAAATATCCCCATGCTGCTGATCACATATATGGTCTATAACATGTGAGCACCGTTATATGTTACAGACTGTGATAGACAATTTGCTCCAGGAAAGTTAGAATGAACTTGTGACTTTAAATGAGCATCATTATTCCACAATACTGTGAATTTCCGGAAATTATGTAATCACTTAATCACAATCAAAAAAAAAAAAAAAAGAACCTCGGGGAAGGGAGGGAGGGAAGGGATGGTAGGGGGAAAACAATGGAGGGGGTAACAATGTTCAGTAGGAAGTGTACTAATGAGTACATGTAACTCACTCATGTAACTGTAACCCTCTGTATAGTATCTTTACAATAAAAAAAAATTTTTAAAAAAGAAAGAAAGAGAAGTCTCAGCGGATCCCCACGCTGACCAAGAATCACCGGCACAATTCCATGCATGACCGCACCTCTCCTCAGAAACAAGTGTCATGGGTGGTGTGGAGACGTAGCTTCTCACAGAAAGGGGACTATTTGTGCAAGTTTCCTGCTATTCACAAAATGATCGTTCAAAACACCTCCTCAGCATGGCTTGCATGCATTGTTTCCTGGATTTTAATCAGAGTTTTTCGGGCTGAGCAGCAGGGGCTGGTGGACTGTGTGCAGACCAACTCTGAGACCCAGCGCCAGCCTGCACCTCACACAGAACACAGCTCACCTTTGGA